AAAAATTTAAAAAAGATTGGGAATTCTTGCCTGGGCTATTGAAAGAGCCACTGAGCTGGTCATAGACCCTGTATCCCACATTATAGCCAGAGGTATGAAAGTCAAGTTTGGTCACAATGCACTTTCCTTAAATCCTTTTGGTGGCTTCCTGTCATTCTAAGGATGACCAAATTCCTTTATGAGGCCTGGAGTGGCCTGTGCCCACCTCTTTTACCTTCATTTCTCCGAATCTCTCCTTCACTCTCTGAAAGTCATTGGTTTGTGCTCATTATCTTCCCTCTTCCCCTACTGCTTCTCTCCCCTTTGCCAAGTTTTGTCCTATTCATTCAGATCTCAGATTCAACTCTCTTTCCTCCCCAGGCAGACCTTGCTTGTTGCCACCCCACCCCCAACTGTCAAGTGTTTGCAGGTCCGCCCGAACTTGATAGCACTTACACACCCTTCTAGTTGTCTAATGGTTTCATTTATGTCTGTCTCCCCAGGCAGTCTCAAAGTTGCAGGAGGAAGGAGACCATGTTTATCTATGGGTGCCTAGTGGCTAATACAGCAGCCAACACCTAGCTCAATAAACATATGTTGATTTTGTGATTCAACTGAGAATGGGTGAAACCAACTCAGAGGACCTGCTTGCATGCACCTGCTTTTGTTTTGTTGGTTGCAACTCTCTCTAGACCATGGAGAGCTGATTGTTTCTGGGGAATGGCAGTTAAAGAGGGACTAGTTGTAACCAGCCTCACCCTGAGTTGGATTGGGGGCCCAGGTGTCATCCAGCTCCCATCTGTATTGTTCTAGAAGTTAGATGGTCTTGGAAAATGGCCTGGACCACAGACAGTCTGACATCTGGATGCATGGCTGGTAAAGAATGTTTGGGTTGCTAGAAATAGCAAAAGAGAAGGAAGTGAGGACACACCATGTTTCATTCAAGTGACATTAGTAACAGGAAAAGATCCTGGGAAAAGTTACTAACAGGCTCTTTTCTGTTTATAGCTTTAATGCACCATCTGAGGCCCTTCTATCTTGTGAATTGACATGCTTTATTGGATCTGAAGATATAGTAGAGAATATAGAAGGTGAAATAATTTTGACAATTTTGAGTATTTTATTGAGATATTTGTTAGATTATTTTTCAGCTAAAGTTCAACCAGCAGTTACTGCAATGAGTAGAAAATGGGCCCACATTTTATTTAATGTAAATGGAAAGATGTTGGTTGTGTGTAAAATGAGAGAATGAAGGTACTGCTGCTGGATACTGATAGGTCTTAGAGAAATTAAAAATGCAGGACTTATGGAACATGAGACCTTGAAAGTAACTTGCCAGTGGGGTCAGATCTTTGAAAGGTAATATCTGTAAATAAATGTTTTGTTGTTTTTGGTGTCATTTGTTAGTCTATAATTTTGTTTATATTTAGACTGGAAAGATATAACCAGTGGAAGTTTTGATACTTATGTGCTTCCAATAAGTCACTTTTTTATCTCATGGAAACTTCCGATGAGACCTTTATCAAGAACTACATAACCAAGTGTCTAGAAATACCAATGCTTGACTAACTTTAGATATTGTTTCCTTCTGGTTTGAAAAATGTCAAAGTGATTATATGGTACTCTTTTAAAAAAAAAAAAAAAAAAAAGATAATTTTTCAGAAGTAGCTTACTGGTTTCAATCAGAAATTGGGAAGTTATACATTTGTTACTGTAAAGTGATTTTTTTATATATAAATGTATTTCTCCATGCCACATTTATGTATCTGGAGAAAAAAGGCAAATGGGTCATACTTCTGGCAAGGTCCTTTGTCTTTGTATTAGAATCTCATTTGAATCCCATCTGTGGGAAGTTTGTCAACAAAATTCCTGCTCAGTAAATGATCCATTTTTTTAACCTTCAGTTATTTTAACAGTGAAAATGGCAGACAGGAGACATGCTTGAAATTAAATTATGCTTCATCTGCACACTGGGAATCAAAGTTTGATCTAATCTTTCGAAATATAGGGTCACTCTATTTAATAAGAAAATTTAACCTACTTCTTGGTTAAAACAAGATGGTCCTAACTTAAATAATCATTGCAGGATGCTCTGCTAGGTCCTCAGAGTTCCTGGAAGCCCTGACCCTCTTCTGATGGGTCCCTCTTAGACCAACTGGCCATTGGTTCTGGGTAGCCCTGCTGCCGCCCTAGCAGTGACTTTGGCCCAGGGAGAGTATGGAGTGGCCAAGTACAAATGCTATGTCCCATAGGCCACCTCAGCCTTGTTGTTTTTGTGTGACCATTTTATGTTGACATGGGGAGGAAGCAGAACAGTTGGAAATAAACAGGAGCTAAAAGGGAAAAATGTAGAAATAGGGAAAATGAGCTGGGTCCGAACGAGCACTGCAAATGGGATCCACAGATGCTCCTGATGAGAATGAGGAAGCCCAGTGTCTCTGAGCCATGTGGGTCCTGTAGTCTCTGGCGATTCTCTTGGAATCCTGGCTATTCTATCAGACATCCTGATTTATTTCCTGTGGATCGTCACAATAAACTCTACTACTTGATTGATGTAACTGATGTCTCTTCCTTATGGCTTAAACTGCTTAACCTAGCATCATAGATTAAAATGTTAACTGACCCAGTGTTGCTCAGTGGTTGGGCATCGACCCATGAACCAGGAGGTCACAGTTTGATTCCTGGTCAGGGCACATGCCTGGGTTTCGGGCTTGATTCCCAGTAGTGAGTCATCATTGATGTTTCTATCTCTCCCTCTCCCTTCCACTCTCTGAAATCAATGAAAACATATTTTTTAAAATGTTAACTTTTAAACATTGATATGTTTATGATCACGTAATATAGGTTTGTGTTTTTTAACAATTTTAAAATCGTATATAAAGAAGTCTTACTAAAAAGATCAAGGGAAAGGCATACAGGAGATATTTTTCAGAACTTATCAGTTCTTTTTAACAAAGTACAAATAATATAAAATTTGTTATGGAGACAGGGCTTTGAGTTAGAATTCACATAATAATAAATTCGGGCTAAAAATAGACTCAAGGAAATGGTGTTAAATGTTTAGTAGTTGCTGTGCTGTGCTTTATTCTCTGGTATACGACTTTGAGGGCTCCCTTACAAGAGAACTGTACTAATGTGATTAGATTCTTAATTATTAATTTAAACAATTTTTAGTTAATATAGTCCACAAATGGAAATCTCACAATGGAGCCAATGCCAGCCTTTTTGGGTGGACTTTTTCACCTGCCTCTCCACCTGGTGGAGGTGAGGTCCACATGGGAATAGCTCTGAAAATTTCCAAGCCCTCATCTGGAAGGACCAGGACTCTCATTGCTGATGTCTTCTCATTGTTGGATTTGGATGTTGATTCATCATGTAAGACTTCCATCTTTAGGAAAAATTTAATAGAAATAAGAATAATTTTTACCTCCCCAAATTTTCCAAATTAGAAATCAAGCTGGATTTGTTGTTAATTAAACTTTTTATTTTGAGATAATTACAGATTCATATGTGGTTGAAAGAAACAATACAGAAATACTCAGTTTCCCCTAACATCACACAAAACTCTAGTGTAACTTCACAACCAGGAAACTGACCTTCATATCGTCAAGATACCTAACATTCCTAGACGACAGGATCCCTCTGCTGCCTTTTATAACCACACCCGCGTCCCTCCTCCCTGACAATCCCTATTCTGTCCTCTAGGTCTATATCAAGGATGTTACAGAAATGAAGTCGTTTTGGGATTGGCTTTCTTCACTCGGCATAATTCCCTGGAAATTCATCTAGTGACTAGATTTTTTTTAAGTCACATGAAATCAATCTATCCCTCCGGTTATACCAGACCAAACCTGAAGCCTCATGCAGGCAATAGAGGTACACTGCTTTGGGAAGATCTGTAGCCTATGTAATCTCAAACAGATTTTAGAACTATTAAAATGAGCCTATCTTCATCCTGGTGAGGTGGCTCAGTTGGCTGGAGCATCGTCTGGTGCACCAAAAGGCTGTGGGGTCAATTCGCAGTCAGCACACATACCTAGGTCGCAGATTCGATCGCCAGTCGGGGTGTGCACGGGAGGCAACCATCAATGTTTTCTCACATTGATGTTTCTCTCTCTGTGTCTCTTTCCCTTCCTCTCTCTTTAAAAATCAATAAAAACATATCCTGGGGTGAGGATTAAAAAAAAAGAGAGACTATCTTCTTTCAGAGAGTCTGTGTACCAGCAAGAAAGACTGAGTAGTGGGACAATATATTTCAGACTCTATGCTTTCACTCTGATAAAACTCAACATAAGAGGTATATTACCACTAGATATTATGTTTAAGTTTGTTTTTTTTTTATTTGTCTTAAACATTATTTATTTTTAGGTTTTGTGTAGCATACGTTTTAAAGTGAAAGTAGAATATTTCCAGTTACCTCATTCAATTCTTACAACTCTGTGAGACTGATATTTTTCTCTACCTTACAGCTGAGACTTAGCAAGATTAAGTAATGTGCGTAGGTCACATAGTAACTAAATCACAGAGTAAGGACTGGAGCCAGGACTGGAATTAGGCCCTGAATCAATGTGAGCCTCAAAGCTACATGGTGCAAAAAAGGAATAGCTTTGGTATTGGTTCTTTAAAAACCGTTGATTGTACCACTGTAGAAAAACAGATAAGCCAAAAGAACAAACAAATGTTAATGTTTTGCCAGATCAATGATTTTTGCTTAAAATCACTTCTTTATGGTGATTAGTCTTTGATACAAGTGATGAATCAGAAACCTAAATAAAGATACTTTTTTAAAATGTAAAAAAACCCCACCTGGCTTTAGCAAGTAAAATTTCCTTAAATATGTAGTTTCATCATATTTCGAATTAAGGATTATAATTCATGTTACTAATGTGAATTTTTATGATACATAATGAGTTAACAGTGCATTTCTCCCCTAAATGTTAGGTCATGATACCATTACGAAGGCTTCAAAAGGAAAGTTTTCTTATATGCTGAATTCTAAATTCCATATTTTTCCATCAGCTCTTTTGCTTTAGAAATATAGGCATTCATGGCATCTTCCTTTGATAATCCTAGAAAGATACAAACAGATTATCTCACTGACAGATGTATTGGGAAGTTACGAAAGTTTGTTGAACTTATTTAAGAATTAACAACCTTTTTGGAGGTTCCATGCTTCCCACTTAGCCTTGCCTTTTAAATCTAGCATTCCTGGACACTCTGCCAAAAGAAGGATAGACATATTTTCAGGTTTACTTTTTACTCTACGCTTCTATAAACATTGTTCAAACAAAGTATATCACTATTTGTAAGATGACAATAAATACCAATATTGATGTCTCCAATTACAGATTGTTTGTAGAGCCCGTAGAGTTCCTTCAGTTCTTCATCATCTGGTCTTGTTTTCAGCTTCCTCACATCTTCTGCTGCCTTATCAAAATCAGCCTAAAGCAAAGGGGGAAAAGGCACACAGTGCATTCGCTAAGTTTATGCAGGCCCATCTGTTTGGGGGCTTTTACCACCAAGCAGAGGAAACTCAGAGGAGCAGGGGGTTTCAAATGGAAATGAACTACTGCTGCTCTGGCTCCACCAGAATTATCATAACTTAGTCATCGACACCACTCCTGGTACTTACTTGTTATATACACAAGATATGGAAAACAAAATATAATTCTGAATACTGAGAATGTTCAATTTATCTACGTTTAAAAATTGAAGATAACACAGTAAATGGAAAAATATCCTATGTTCTTCAATTGGAAGAATTAATATTGTTAAAATGTCCTTACTATCCCAAGTAACCAAGCAACCTACAGATTCAATTCAATCCCTATCAAAAGTCCAGTGGCATTTTTTACAGAAATAGAAAAGATCCTAAAATATGTATGGAACCACAAAAACTCCAAATACCTAAAGCAATCTTGAGAAAGGAAATTAAATCTGGAGTCATCATGCTTTTTTATTTCAAACTATAATACAAAGCTATATTATTCAAAATAGTATGTACTGGAATAAAAACAGGCATCTAGGTCAATGGAATGGAATAGAGAGACCAGAAAGAAACCCATGCATATATGGTCAATTTAATTTACAACAAATAAGCCAAGAATATACAGCGGGAGAAAGACAGTCTCTGCAATAAATGGTGTTGGGAAAACTGGGCATCCATATGCAAAAGAATGAGGCTGGACCACTATCTTATACCATACACAAAAATCAGCTCAAAATGGATTAAAGAATTGAACATAAGACTTAAAACCATAAAACTCCAAGAAGAAAGCTCTTTGACATTGGTCTTGGAGATAATTTTTTTGGATATGACACCCCAAGCACAAGCAACAAAAGCAAAAGTAAACAAGTGGCATTACCTCAAACTAAAAATCTTCTGCACAACAAACGAAACCATCAACAAGATGAAAAGGCAACCTACCAAATGGAAGAAAATAGTGGTACCTCAGTTTTTTAACGTCTCAGTTGACGAACATTTCAGTTTACGAACGCCGTAAACCCAGAAGTAAATGCTTCAGTTTTCGAACATGCCTCAGAAGTCGAACCTGCCACACAGCTTCCGCTGAGTGCAAGATCCTGAGGCCTCCCTGTTGGCTATTGAGTTCTGAGCACCCATGCAACATGGAGGTGATATCTGGGCTTATTTGGTGGCTGTGTGCAGTCAATCTGTGCTCATTTCATCTCAGGAGCACTCTTGAAACCAATTTGTTTTTGTGACTGTGTGCAATTTGTGTTCATGGCATCTCAGGAGCCCTCTGCCAATCACCCCTTGCTGTGGGAAATGGATGAAAGCTGCAAAGCCAAGAGAATCACTAGCAGAACAATAGAAGTGAAGAAGGAAATTATTTCCAAACATGAAAGTGCTATCCATGTATTGATCTGGCAAGGCAGTTTGGCATGGCCAAATCTACAATTTTTACCATCTTAAAAAATAAAGGAGCCATTAAAGGAGCCAATGTTGCAAGAGGTGTTAAAACACAAGACAAAGGACACAGACAATTGAAGAAGTGGAAAAATTGCTTTGCATATGGATAAATGAAAAACAATTGGCCAGTGACAGCATTTCTGGGAGCATGATTTGTGAAAAAGCTTTACATATGCATGCTGACCTCATCAAAAACACCCGTGGAACAAGTGCTGAGAGTTATATTTTCAAGGTAAGTAGAGGGTGGTTTGAAAAGTTTAAGAGGAGAAGTGGCATACACAGTATGGTGAGACATGGTGAAGCTGCCAGTGCCAACAAAGAAGATGCCGACCAATTTGTTTTGGAATTTAAGGATTATGTAGAAGCAGAGGGTTTCCTTCCCCAACAAGTTTTCAACTGTGATGAGACAGGCCTCTTTTGGAAGAAAATGCCAAAGAGGACCTACATAACAAAGGAGGAGAAATCACTGCCAGGACACAAGCCCATGAAAGACAGGCTAACCCACTTATTTTGTGGGAATTCAAGTGGGGATTTTAAGTTGAAGCCCTTGCTAGTCTACCATTCTGAGAACCCCAAGGTATTTAAGAAAAACAATGTCATAAAAAGGAAACTGCATGTGATGTGGAGGGCAAACAGCAAAGCCTGCGTAACCAGGCAATTTTTTATTGAGTGGGTTCATGAAGTGTTCAGGCCAAGTGTAAAATAACACCTCCAAGACAAAAATCTTCCAATGAAGTGCCTGCCTGTTATGGATAATGCTCCAGCTCACCCTCCAGGTTTGGAGGACGAGTTGATGGAAGAGTTCAGTTTTATCAATGTAAAGTTTTTGCCCCTCAACACAACTCCACGCATCCAACCCATGGGCCAGCAGGTCATTTCTAATTTTAAGAAGCTTTACACCAAAGCACTGTTCCAAAGGTACACAGAGCTAACCCTCAGAGAGTTCTGGAAGAATCATTTCAATATCCTACATTGCTTACATCGCATAGACAAAGTAGGGAGGGATGTGTCTCATAGAACAATGAAATCAACATTGAAGAAATTGTGGCCAGAAGCTGTCCCTGAATGGGTATTTGAGGATGTTGAAGAGGATGCTCTTATTGTTGAGAATATTGTGTCTCTGGGAAAGTCCATGGGCTTGGAAGTGAGTAGTGATGATGTGGAGGGGTTAGTGGAGGACCACAGGACTGAACTCACCACAGAAGACCTTCAAACATTCTGACGGAGCAGCAATGAGTGGCAACCGAGGAACTTTCTTCAGAGGAGGAGGGAAGAGAAAGTGTTTCTATTGCACTGATCAAAGAAACGTGTGCAAAATGGGTGAAGTGCAAATTTTTGTTGAAAAATGTCACCCTGATAAAGTTGCTATAAATCATGCCACTAACACTTTTAATGATAATGCTATGTCGCACTTCAGACAAATTTTAAAACATTGGAAAAAGCAAATGTCAGTTGAAAAATTTTTAGTGAGGAAAAGATCCAGTGAGTGTGGACCAGGTGCCAGTGGTGTAAAAAACTCGAGGGAAGGAATGGCAGGAGAGGAGTCACCTACTGTGACTATGGAAAAGGGCTACAGAACACCTGAACAACTGTTACCTATTGTGATTCTGGAAGAGAACCACATAACACCTGAAGAACAGTCACCTATTGTGATTACTGAAGGGGACCCCCCATCCAAACCATGACTATCATCATTGCAGATAAGAAAAAATTACATTTTCATTTTTGTCATCTATGGTACTATTTTTACACTGTTTATTTATTATTGCTTTTACAGTACAGTATATTGTGTTTATTGCTTTCATTGTGTGTCATTTTATGGATCTGTGGTATCATTAGATAGTAAAAATTCATGTTAAATTGCTACTTTAGGGGCTGACTAAAGGTCTGTGGCAGATTAATGCATTTTGCATTACTTTCAATAGGAAACCGTGCCTCGGTTTTCAAACATTTCAGAACTCAAACAGTCCTCCGGAACAGGTTACATTTGAAAACTGACGTAGCACTGTATTTGAAAATCATATAACTGATGGGGATTAATATCCAAAATACACATAAGGAAGTCATAAAATTCAATAACAGAAACCAAACAATCTGATTAAAAATGGGAGGTGGATCTGAATAGATATTTTTGCCAAAGAAGGCATACAAATGGCCAACAGACACGTGAAAAGGTGCTCAACATCACTAATCAGGGAGATGCAAATCAAAATCACAATGAATATCATTTCACACCTGTTAGAATGGCTCTTGTCATAAATGTTGGCGAGGATGTGGAGAAAAGGGAACCCTGCACTCTGTTGGTGGTAATGTAAAATGGTGCAGCCACTATGGAAAACAGTATGAAGGTTCCTAAAAAAATTAAAAATAGAAATATTATATGATCCAGAAATCCCATCTCTGAGTACTTATCTGAAGGAAATAAAATCGCTATCTCAAAAAGACATCTGCACCACCATTTTCATTGCAGCACTATTTACAATAGTCAAGACATGGAAACAACCTAAATACACTTCAACAGATGAATGGGTAAAGAAGATATATACATTAAAATATTATTCAGCCATAAAAAAAGGAGACAATCCTGACATTTAAATGCACCCTGAGGGCACTATACTATGGAAATAAGTCAGACAGAGAAAGACAAATACTGTATGATCTCACTTATACCTGGAATATAAAAAACAAAACTCACAGAAACAGAGAACAGATAGATGGTTACAGAAGCAGAGAGTTGGGGGGTGAGGGAAATAGGTGAAGGTGGTCAAAAGGTTAAAAAAAATTATAACACATTTTTTCTATAAGGTAAAGCACATAAAACTTTCTATTAAAAATTATTTAACTGCATTACACTCAATGCAGCTTTCTCGATCACCCTCATGGACAATTTCTATACTTCTTCCTAAATCTACACTTCACTATATGTAATCGCTTTGCTACCAATTAATATCTTGTCCAGGGCATGTGCCTTTCACATTCTTCAGTATCAGTGTTATCTGTGCCCATTTAGTGGACTAGTTTCTGAGGGCAGTATTTCTGATTTCATTGTGTAGATTCCTTTCAACAAAATTTGTAAGACTTATTTCAATTGGTTTACAGAAAAGACAAATTGTTCAGGCAACTTAGAGCTGATTAGTGAAAAGAAACTGGCTTCCTGGAAACTTTGTATACAAATAGTCTAATAAACTATGCCCTCCCCTCATGGCTTAACTCGGAAAACTGAGACCTGCCTCACTCCCCAGGACCCTCAGGCTGGCCCAGAACCCTCAGCTCAAGACTTGGCCAGAAGCCACTCCCTTGGCATAATCTTCACCAAGACAAAGTGCTCCTAGAAATTTGGTTCCTGTCTCCTTTTTAACCTCTTCGTGTATATACAAAGGCCATGGTAATTGTTTTCCTTAATAGAATTTTTCCATTCTTTATGTAAAATCATGTTTATTTTTCAATTACAGTTGACATATAATTTTATACTAGTTTCAGGTGTACACCCTAATGATTAGGCATTACATAA